CAAGCAACAAAACACGGATGGGCCCCAGGCTGCCCTCTCTAGGCTATTCAGAAAATTCTCCCAGGGGAGGTTGGAAGAAACTTCGATTTGGCCCCAACAGAAACTATCCTGAACACTCAATAGCAGCCTCTGTCAGCTTTGCCCTCTGGATCTGCCCATATGCCCCAGAGATGCCCATTGAGACTACTCTCAATGCCTGTCAAACTATAACTTCAAATCTGTCTGTGGCATGGGCTGGACTGCACTGGACTGGACTCCAGCCAGCCTGATCAGAGGACTGTGGGGGGGTGGGCATACTGGCCCCCTCGCTGCAGGATGGGAAGGACACACTCTAATCCACCTCTCCCGGCAAAGTCGTAAGTCTTTGCTCTCAAAACAGCTGGACTTCAGAGCCAGCTAGAAGTATACATGGGACAGAGGCATTACAGGTTGTCAGGGCACCTCTCCCATTCCCTAGGAGCCTGACCCCTGCAAAGAGGGGCACCTTTGAACAATCATTCATGGTGAGGGAGGGGGCAAGGAAAGCAAAGAGAGGCAAATGACAGCTGGGTAGAGCCCCAGCAGTCCCTTTGAGGACAGGGCAGAGGAAGCCCCGTAGGTGTTCCACCAGGTCCACACCCCTGTGTGTCCAGGGCTGATTTGGGCACAAGGCTCACGCAGTCACTGTACCTGCCCCATTGCTAGCTGGCCAGAGATGCTGGGCTGTCCCCCAGAACTCAGACTGTGAGGCTTGGAACCTGGGCAGGGGCAGGAATTTACAGCTTCATCCAATGACTCTGTGCCCAAGACCTTAAGGAGCGGAAGCCACAATTCTTGGTGTCACCTCCAACCCCACCTCCTGTTTGCCCTGCGTCCTTAACCCTTCCCCAGCTGCAAGAACTTTCCCTTCCCCCAGGGAGACTTTGGACCAGATCTGGAGGCTGGGAGACCGGCCCCAGCCCGCCCGCGCGAGACCGGCCTGGCGCACGGGTGCGGCCAAGTCGTGCTGGGACAGCTCCGCGCTGCCTCCCGGGCAGCCGCGGGCGGCTACAAGTGCAGATCCCGCTGGGAGAGGAAGGGGGCTGACCCTTCAGGGGCCAACAAGGAAGCGCCAGCCGTTGGTTGGGGGGCATCAGGACTGGGGGTCGATATGGCGGAGAATGACTGAACGAACACACGAATGAATGAACAGCAATGGTGGCGGGAGTTCGGGCGGACCCTGGGAGGCGTGCCGAGGACGGTGCCCTCCACTGCCCCCCGATGCCGCCAGGACCGTCCCTCATCCCAGGTTCGGACATCCTGTCCCCGCGCGAACACCTCGCAGACCCCTGAGGCTCCCGGGCCGCGCGGCGCAGCCCGGGACCCGAGTCCGCAC